TTTGGTTTTCAGTCAAAAAATAAAGAGATTATGGAAGGAGACCATCCGCGCCATGAAGTCTTAACTAAAGGATGGTCCATGTCATTTCCACTCAACTCTGTCATGCACTTGTCATTGCAAGGAAGGAAACAACCAGACTAAACTCACTGCCATCGTCCTGACTCTGACCCACAGCAGTCCCACGGACACAGCAGAGCTGCTCCTGTGGGTTTCCGGTGCTATCAGCCCTTAGGGGAGCAGAAAGCGTCATCCTTTTCCCGAGGGGCAATCAGGAGATTTGAACAACCAGCCTTATGGTTAGCAGCCCAACAGAAGACAAAGGGTTGCTTTTGCCTCTTCACCGAAACCCGTGCAGATGCAGACACGACCTATCTTGGTTCCTGGCTTACAGGTTGTACCTGGAACTGATGCTGATGATGCAGCTGCTGGAGCCTCGGCCTCTGCAGCTGAAGGCGCCCTGGTGGAGGAAGCCGAGAAAGAGGAGGCGGCTATCCCTGTGGATGAAGGAATAAGTTTGGAGGAGCCCAAAGCCGATACTGAGACCACAGAGGCTGCAGAGAGTGACAGCCCTGCTCCGGAAGAAACCCAAGCTGCCGTGCCTCAGGTACGGGTCCTGGGGCAGCAGTGGCTCTGAGCGGTGGTGCCAGTAGCAATGCTTTGCCTGTGGGGGATCACTCTTTCGGGGGGGTGAAACAGGTTTGCCGCCATCTTGTGACGCCCCCTCATACCAAGAAAAGTGTATCCGATACGCAGAAAGAGTAGCCTCAGCAGCCTGTCATTGTCAGCCTTGCGAGGTTCCACGCAGGACCCAGTGCTGCCTGTGGCTGACTGAGCATCGGCACCGACAGGGGACGGAAACAGTGGAGCACTGCGATGGGGAAAAGGAGCGATGCCAAGATGAGAATGGAGAAGGGAGGAGATGTGCTTGAGTCCTAGGATTATGGCGGGTTGTTGGGAAACTCCCCGTAACACAGTACCAGGCACAAGGTGCGAACTCGACGTTAGTGGTTAAAACATATGGCTGTTTAGCTATGATTGCTATTGCTTTTTGTGATGATGTTTCTTACAAACAGCATTTATCAAATCCTAAACAGGAAAAGACAAATGCGCATCCTCCACATGAGGGAGGTCATTCGCATGATGGCTTCTGAGGCTGTGCATCTTTAGGAGAGAGATCGCCTCCTCTTTCTCATGTGGAGCACCTATCAACGTGCTTCCCCGATTCACCACACTGCGCATCTCATCAAGGGCCCTTCCTCGATTGCGCATTGATGATGGGCTTGAGTTCTAAATGTATAGGCAGATTTGGCATTCATTCTGTCTTTCATTCACAGCAGGAAGGTAGCGCTTCACATTTTCAGGGGGGTGGTCAGAGGTCACAAATCCACATGCTTTGTGATGATGGATGCCTGTGACCCAGCTAGGGGCCCTGGTGATGTCGTGGTTACGCAGTGGTCTGCAACCAGCAATTCAAAACCACCAGCCGCTTCGAAGGAAACAGATGGCTCTTTCTACTCCCATAAAGAGCTAAGAGTCTCAGAAACTCACAGGGGCAGTTCCACCCTGTCCTCTGGGATCCTGACTCCGGTAGGGTCGCGATGAGTCAGCGCCGGCAGTGAGTTTTCGTTGTTGAACCAGGTACCAATGCAGAGCTCAGTGGGTAAGCTCCTGGCTGCCGACATAGAGGAGAACTTGCCTCGCTCTCCAGCCACTCTGTGGGAGAAATGCCCTGGCAGTCTGCTCCTGTAGCCATGACAGCCACGGCTGAGGGCCAGTTCTGGTCTGCCCTACAGGGTCATCATGAGCTAGACACCACAGGACAGCAGGGGCTGACCCTCTTCCCAATTTTCACAGAAAGCTCACTCTCACCAAATTGCATGATTGTTCGAGATCCACAGTGGCTGTCTCACTGAGGATGCCGTGCTCACCAAGGAAGCTGTGTGCCGAGGTGGCTGCCTGAGAGCGCAAGAGCAAAGGCAGCGGGGCCTGAACGAGGGGTGGGGATCAGTGAGGCACCCGGCTGCCTGGAGTAAGGGAGGGAGGCAGAGGCACAAGAGCACGAGAGGAGGGTTGAAAGAGGTGGTGGAAGACCTGACGATCCTGTTTTCAGGCACCCCTCAGCACCGCCATGTTTCCTTCCCACAGGACAAGGTCATCCCTTCCGTGGTTATAGAACCAGCTTCCAACCATGAGGGAGAGGGAGAACACGATGCACCCATTGGC